CCTAATAGTCACAGGGATATTGAGAGGGTCATACAAAAATGTATACGTTACTGGATTTCGTAAACTGAAAATTAGAAGGTATTCCTATTGTTATATTTTAACAAGAACATACTGGTTTCATTATCTTTGCTCTCAACTGCATTTATAAATATATCTATAGCATTTTGAATCATTCCATCTGCTTTCATCTGTTCAGACAGCAACTGATTAAAGGCTGTTTAGCTCTAAATAGCTTTATACACTTTGAACTAGAAATGGATTTTCCCCATTTAATATCTAATTAATTTTAAAAAATCTAGTGCTAAAGACTAGACATATGGACCATTAGGGTTGACTATCACAATATTTTATCATTAGGTTAATTATAAAAATATTTTATTATTTTCAAGAAATAGTGTTTTTTGAAGGCTCTTTTTTTTTTTAACCTGTTATGAGGGATTAAATGCTGTCACAAAGAGCATTCAGTTTGATGTATAGGGCATATTATCACAGGGAAGTGTACTGTCATATGGCATTATGACACGTGAACTCCAGGGAGAAATTTGGGTCGAGTGTCTGGCTAATATGTCCCAGTCATCTTCCTGAAGCTGCTTAATGCTTGCTGTGTTTTGACCCTAATTCTCCTAAAGCACATTTCTCCTCCCTCCTACCATGTTTTGAACTCCCATTGATGCATCATTAAAAGTTGGGATAGATCCTCGGAGACCAGGAAACCATTTCTTTGGATTTTACATTTAATTTTTCTACCCCAACTTCTAACAAGGGAATGGGACAATTATTTTTAATTGCCTTTAATGGAACAGATTTAATTTTTCTCAAGCATGTGGTCAGAGCTTCTTATAATAAATGAAATACAAGCTCTTATAACTTAAACTCATTTTGTTTACTGAACTGAGAGAAAAAAAAGAAACCTTGCCATGATACTCTGAAATTTTTATATCTGATAGCTCCATTATAATAAATCTACCTGTATTGCACAGACCCAGCTACATTATGAGCCACATTATATCTCCAAATGTATCATAAAACAAAACAAAAAAAGTTTGTCCCAAGTGCCAAAATAGCAAGTAATAAAGCTTTTCTTACTCTTGGAAGATTGTTAGGCTGCTTTAAAAAAAATTTTTTTTTAAATTTACATCTAAGTTAGTTAGAATATAGTGCAACAGTGATTTCAGGAGTAGATTCCTTAATGCCCCTTACCCATTTAGCCCATCCTCCCCCCCAAAACTCCTCCAGTAACCCTCTGTTTGTTCTCCATATTTAAGAGTCTCTTATGCTTTATCCCCCTCCCTGTAGTTTTAGTATTTTTGCTTCCCTTTCCTTATGTTCATCTGTTTTGTATCTCAAATTCAACATATGAGTGAAGTCATATGATATTTGTCTTTCTCTGACTAATTTTGCTTAGCATAATACCCTCTAGTTCTATCTATGTAGTTGCAAATGGCAAGATTTCATTCTTTTTGATTGTTAGGTTGCTTCTTAGAATAAATAATCTGTGCTTTTAAGGAACAAACAGAGGTCATCTGTGGGTCCAATACTCCCTGTTAGAGACTCTGAAATACTTTTCCTCGACTGATGTTTGGTGAATCTCAGGATGCTCCTCTCCCAGAAGATTCTTTCCTTGACATCTGTCTATTTCCTCTCCATCAAGATTTGCACCAATTGAACATAATTTGGCCTCTATTGCTAAGTTACTGGTGCTAAAATATGAGAATGGAAATGGAATTAGCTAATTATGTGGATGTTGTGAACACCTGGATACTTGAAATTTGGTGGCTGAGACATCAAGTAACTCACACATTCACTTGTGATTTAAATATCTAAGAATCCTGTAGCTACTGCTCATGTCCACTTGATAGGAACTCTTTACTCAGAAAAGAAAGACCATTGCTAGGGAACTTCAGTCTCATAAGAATTGGTAGTCAACTGTGCCTTTGCACTGTGACTGTTACTCTAAGTTTTGGTTGATTGCTTAGAGACAATACTGTCTCAAATAAAACATTTTGGTCAATTAAGTGTCACAGTCACTATTCCTCTGCCCTTTCCCTTCCTCTTCCTCTCTACATTCCTCTTTGACCATTTATGAAGGACTTGGTTTCATGTCTTCTGTTCTTCTAAAACAGGATTTTAAATGGAATAAAAACTAGTTTCCAAAAAATCTAAGTCTCTGGCAAAGCTGTGGGAGCCTTTTAAGGATTTAGAAATTGGTAGTTAGAAATAGATTACACATTACATAGTTTAGACCAGATTTCTCATCTGGGCAAAGTTTCTAATTTTCTAACTTGAAATTTCTACTAAATAAATGTGGGAATTCTTGCTTAGATACTGACATTCAGTTGAAGGTGACGAAAGAAGATATATCTACTTAGCAAATACAACTTGCCTTCTTTTTAAGTAGTGCCACCTTTCAACAACTTTGGTATTGCTCTTGTGGATATGATAGGACAAATAAAATATTTCACTAATATTAATATTTATAGAAACCATAGGGAAATGAAGAAGTTATCTGAATGACCCAACCAATGAATTACCAAATAAATCACACAGATTTTGAGTAAGGAAACATGGAAAATGAGGTAACCCCAAAAAATCGGTAGTTACCATTACTTCCATGCCAAGTCTGGACAATGATACAGTGAGTGAGGCCAGTACTGTTAGACCACAAGTGCTTTGGAGTGGACAGAGAAGTGGCAGAGGAAGCAGAGGATGCACAATCCGAGACCACCACATAGCTACTGAAGAAGAGATTCTGTGGCTCTCTGGCTCTCTCCCTACTCTCGCCCCCTAGGGTTCTTCTAGATCTCAGTTCTCTTTCCTTGTTTATACCAATACTACACTTGACGCTAGTGTTCTCATTGCTCACTAGGCAAACCCAAGTGCTTAGAAAGTCTCTTTTACTAAGATTGCACTAGTATTTGACAGTAGGAATGAATCCCTTGAATTGTTTAAACTTTCACATATGTTCATTGGGTACCTTGAAGGTATAAGGTACCCAGGTGCCTGTATTAGGATTTTTCTATTTCCATATTGCTTTTTTCCTTGGGTGTATATCTTAGTCTTTGACTTTTTTGGTGTGCTTCCTTTCCTCTTCTTCTATATCTTTCCTTCTCTTTTTAATTGTCTTCTCTACTTTTATTGATCCTTCTCTAGCACTTTCTTTCCAGTCAATACTTTTACTACTCTCCCTAGACAAACCCAATTCCCAAGTAATAATATAACTAAGGGGAGCACTGAGCATACATAACAGCAGTACTGGAACATTTACAATACCTGCCAATTGTGCTATTAGCTCAGAGACACAAAATAAACTGAAAGAATAGATTGACATTGTTTTATCATTTTGTGTATAAGTTCTGCTTTGCTTAAAGAGCATAATTCAGGTAATAAAACCTTTAGCAAGGTAGGTTTCATAGAGGCAATGATATCCTGTAGAAAATGAAACTAGGCAAGAAGTTAGGAGATGATGGATCTTGTTCTTCCAAATATTGGGTAACCTCCAGTAACAACTGCTGCAATATGGACTTTGCCCTAGTTCGGTATTTTGTAAACTGTGGATAATACTTTTTCTGCATATCTGATAGACCTGGGTGAAAGATTAATTAGATAATATACATAAAAAGACTTTGTTCTTTAGAAGGAAAGAGGTGTGATGCAATAGTCTAGTATTATCTGTTCATCAGATAACATGATCTAGTGATTCTATCATACAGAGAACAAAAAGGTTTTATTATCACATTTGGTTTAACTCAACCCGAGGCTGCAGAGCTTTTAGGACCAGCATTTCTGGGACCTAATCAATAATTATCTCTTCCTAAATAGTCTTTTTGCCTGACCAGGCTTTCTGAAATAAAGCCTTATAGTAGTGGATTTGCTCTTCTCCAAAGGCCCTGAGCAGCCACAGGAAAGCACTGTTAAGTCTTCCCCTCAAATTTTACAAGGATTTGAAGACCAGAAGAGAATCAGAAAGGAAATGCGTGTGGGCACGTGTTTCTGTGTGTGTGTGTGCTTGATTATGCACATGTGCTTCCAAGAACACACAGGTCCCTGAAGACAGTCAAACATAAAGAAAAGAGATATAATCTCTTAGTCTCCTTTCATAGACACTGTTCCTCAGTTAGTCACTAAAACAAGATTACCTATCCATCTTGCACCCTGAAGGCAGTTGTGAGTGTGTGAAAGCCTTTTAAACATCCAATTTCATGGTGTACATGCTAGAAAAGTGGTTTTTTTTCCCTCTTTCTGAATCATTCAGTTAGATTCTACTCAGAAAAACTGCTGATTCACTGGAGTATGAATGAAATAGAGGGTCTTTTTAAGAGGCATTTTCCCTAGTATAGCCCATTTTCAATTATGTAAAGTTCTTCTGTTAGTCAACTAATAACTTTTTAAATAGCTCCCTTAAAATTCTCAAGTTCATTTGTAACTATGAGGGGAAATCTACATAGATCTTCAAAAATCAAAATCTCTTATTACTGAACACATTTCCAGATTCATTTAATAATGCCACTCTCAGAAAACTTCATCTTTTTGCCCCTCCATTCCCCTTTACTGTGGTAAAATAATATAAAAATGTCTAGTCTATTAATAAACAACTTTAAGAATTCCTTCACTGAAAATGACTATAGCAAAAACCAAACATAAAATGAATAAAAAGGTAATAAACTCAGTATTTCAAATTAGATCCATTTCTTTTGTCTAAACACATTGTGACCAAGTAGCCTTTACTTATTTTCATGCATATATACATATATACATATATATATATATTTACACACACACATATATATACTTAAATGTATATATTTAACAACATGGAATGGTAACATATCAAATGCTTAGATTCCGTGCAAACACATAACCTTTCCTGTGAAGGAAACATATTAATATTATAAAAACAAATCATGGAGAGTAACATGCAACGGCCGAGGGGAGGAGTGTAGGGTTGGGGCAGGGGACCAGGAGAAACACAACGAATGTAAAGAACAAAAAGTGTCATTGACCTGATTTGTCAGAGCTGTTGCCTGTGATTGGAGTGATGGAGCAGCTGGGATTAGCCTTTGCGCTGTCCTTGGAAGAAACCATTTTGGGTTTATTTTTCGTTGCCTCTAGTGCTTTGACCTTCTTGGCATGTTTACTTCCTTTGTAGTGGGCCTCGGCCTGGCTCTACAAAGGAGAACAAATCAGGCTCATTTTTTTGCTACTTACAAACACCACAATGGATGATCATGCAGGAAAATATACATTCAATCATAGGCACCACGGACATTTACAACTCAGAACTCAACTACAGTTTTGGCATTTCATGAAGTGGTGGACCAGTATCTAAGGGGTTTTTTAATACTGAAAGCTTCTCTACAGCACAGAGCACCTGTGTCTTTTAAAACCAGACATTACATGAGTGGACGACAGGGCCAGGCCACAGTTGTGATGAAGGTGAGCTTCGTCACCAGCTCTTTTCCACCACTCCCCTTGGGGTTATTCTTCAAACATTTTGCTGGCAGCAAGCTGCTTTGAGTGTCCTCCCTGGGCCTGTCCTTCCACAAACATCCCGCTTTGTTTCTCTTCAGCTAAAAACCTGTTTGTCCTGTACTTTTTCTGGACTTTTTTCTGAGAGCAACTGATGCAACAAAGCAACTTGCTGGTGAGTGGAAATGGTGCTACATTTTAGAATCATCTACATGTGCTTCATGCATCATTTTGATGATCCCTGTTCTAAGAACAGATAATTTATTTTTAGTTTTGTTTTTTAAAATTTTAATGTTCTCTTTGAGAGAGAGAGAGAGAGCGAGCATGAGAAGGGGAGGGGCAGAGAGAAGGGACAATTCGAAGCAGGCTCCAGGCTATGAGCTCTCAGCACAGAGCTGATGCAGGGCTTGAACCCATGAACTATGAGATCGTGAGCTGAGCCAAAGTGGGTCACTTAATCGACTGAGCCATCCAGGCACCCCCTAAGAACAGATAATTTAAGCCACAAAGGAGGTAGGGCCAATCTTTGTTTCTCATCTCAGATGTGATTCTGAAGTCAAAGCAGTTCATATTCCACTCACTTCTACACAAAGCATAGGTGGAACTGTGACTTCAATACTACATCAAAAGGAAGAAAAGAGATCAAGACAAGTTACAATTAAAAATCTTTAAAAGATAAAAACCAGATTATAGAAGAACAAGAAAACATTTAATCAATTTATTGACATTTGGAAAATCTCTCTCTGCCTAAAGAACAAAGATTTTATATTTTGGGCATCTAGCACTAATACACATATTAACAAAAGAATCTAAGTATATTTGCTTCAATTTCATTTTGAATAGAACCTGAAAATATAAACCCACATTTGGAAGAAACAAACAAAAAACCAAGTTAAAACATATATTAACTGGTATATTAACTTAGTTATAAAGGAGAAATGGATGATAAACTTATCATAAAATGACTTTTCATTAGAGACTTTCTAAAATAAAAACTTTTTTAAAATGTTAGTTTTCCTTGTATGCCTGTATGTGTTTGAAGATGGTTATACTAATGTTTTCATTCATTTTCCTCAGCAAGCAGAATGTAGATTGGGTGTGTAAGTGTGAATGTGCACACATTGTGTAAGTAGGGAGGTGGAAGTAAAAATGGACAGAAGCAGCCAGGTTTTAATTCTGCATTTCAACTAAAGATATGTAAGTGATTTCCTTAGCATAGAACCCTGATCGCCCAAGGTCAATAGCTTTATACTGACTTATATTGACTGTACACAGTACCTAACTTCCTGAATATCTTTTTGTAAATATCATTTTAGATCATCATTGACTTATAATTGCTCTTAGTTGGTTTGCTCAAGGGCTTCTCATGTTGATCTCTGTCAAGCTGGGAAAAAAATAATGATCCCAAGGGAGAAGAAAAGTACAACATAAGTTCTTTATGTGTTATGAACTAAGAATGGTTAAGTCTAGTTAATATAGATGGTTGGATATAAATTAATAAAATACACAAATAAAAATTCAAAAAATTAATAACATGAAGTAATAACAATAATAACTAATATTACTGAAACTCTGCCAAACATAGTTCTAAAGGTATTATGTGTATTGGCTCATTTAATCCTCAAAATACTCTGTGAGGTAGGTACCATTATCAATCAGCATTTTACAAACAGAAAACTAGGCACAGAGAAGTTAAATAACATATCAAAAGTAACACAGGTAGGTGTAGAAGTCATTCTGTTGATCTGAAATGCTTACATGGATACCCCTATTTAATGATTTGCCCACCCATTTACATACACATACTCACAGTAAGTTAACATTATAATTTTATTAAAAGGGAAAAATTACACACAAAAAAAGCATGCTGCTTTTAATGACTCAGCGAAAGAATATGTCTTAACAGAAGTTTCTATGAGTAGGAAAAATCTACTTACTTCTTAGGAAATATACTAGCATACTACATTAGATCTGATTCTTCTGTTGAAGAGCTGAGCAAGTCTCACTTTTTAGGTATATAACAATTTCTACATGATATCAGGAGACCTAATAACTCATCTTTCCAAGTATACTAAATAGTGTGATGTTACTTTGTGCCCTTCAGCTAAAGAAATGTATGGTTCTCTAAATAAAACCTCTTGGCACAAGATAAGCAGAGTGTCATTTCCTCAGTGACAATTTCCTGGCACCACTGCAGAAAGTTAACAGCATCAATTAGCACCTGAGACAAAGATCCAACTAAGTGACACCTCACTGGATGCCAAGATGGAAAGGAGTCTCCATAGCCATGATCCACTTCCCCTTTGAGTTTTGGGGCATGGAGAGCAGTGCACCAAGGGATCTTAGCTTCTACTGAATGTTACTTGGGAAGGACTGTGGAATAAAGATAGTGGCAGGCACCACTCACTCACATTTGGCATCTTTCCAATTTCCGTGTGGTATTCTTGGTAGTAGCACTTTGCTATCCTCAGTACTGTATCTGGGGCAGTGTCAACAGCTTCTAAATCCTGGGCAAATCTTCAAGTGAAACTGAGACACTGTTAAATAGTAACACGATTAACGTGACTTCATTATCTAGGACTCTCCTTCGTTGAGGAGGAAAGAAAGAAGGACAAGAGCCAGAAAACCTGTGAGCTAGGCAACACAATCAAGCCCAATCAACAGTGGCTCCTGTATCACTTCTAAGAGACTTGGTTGACCAAACTGACTTACTTTACATCTCAGTGACTAAACAGCAGACATATTTTTCTCTAGCTCTAATGGCTTGCTTTCTGCTTCCCCACCAAAAGTGCTGCCATGCCCCTAACTGGCAATGATCAAAGAAATCTCTTGCTGAGAATTATCAGAATTCGAAAGTTGTCTAAACCACTCTACTGACTTCCACACAAGAGTTCAGCAGTATCTACCTTCTTCTCTCACAGGTCACCCTAGTAGCAACCTGACCATCTACTGGTGAAGGAATAGCTTTGACAGGAAATGACATCCTGGAATTTTCTCTTCTGTTTTAGCTCCACTTTTGTTACTAAAGCCTTTTGTTTTCCCAAAACCTCTACACCTCTCCTCCCCAGTGGACCCCATTGGTCCAAACAAAAAAGATAAAGACTGAGATAATGCATTGCTTCAAAAATAAAAACACTAAAATTTCTAAAATCCACTGTACTCTCGTCTCTGGTTTTTACCTTATTCCTAATTTGGACTTTAGAGAGGTGCCAAGGATCTTGAAATATGACATTAAACTGTGTTCATTTTGTACAGAAAAGACAGTCCGAAGAGAAACTTACAAAGTTGGGAAGAACAAAGTACTCAACTATTTATTTATCAATAAGTCCCATCTGGTTGCATTTTAAAAACTAATTAGAACTCTTTCTTTCATTAAAGAAATTGCATCAGTAAAACTACTGGTGCCTATTTTTCTGAGACCTCAGATTTCAGTGTGTTAAGCAGTGTTACATGGGAAATAGCAGAGGTTAGTTAATTTTCATAAAAATTCAATACACTAAAACGCCAAATAAGAAAGAGGTCAAATAAACTACCATAAGAATGGGCTAAGCGAAAAAGGGGAAAACATTATTATTATAGCACAAAGAATTATTTAGCATCTGCCATGTGCTAGACATTGAGAAAGACTAAACACAAGGACCCTGGGGCGCCTGGGTGGTTCAGTCGGTTGAGCGTCCAACTTTGGCTCAGGTCATGATCTCACGGTTCGTGGAGTCGAGCCCTGCGTTGGGCTCTGTGCTGACAGCTAGCTCAGAGCCTGGAGCCTGCTTCAGATTCAGTGTCTCCCTCTCTCTCTGACCTTCCCCTGCTCACACTCTCTGTTTCCCTCTCTCAGAAATAAAGAAAACATATTTTTAAAAAAAAATTTGAAACACAAAACCCCTACTCACAAGAGTGATTGGAAGGGAAAGACATCCTTGCAAAAACTACAGCTCAAAGCAGAGAGTGGAACTGTAAACTGGGGTGTCAAGAGTGACAAAGAAGAATAGGAGTTAAAGAAGGGGCCAATCTCTTTGGTTTGGAGGGGGTCATGGAAGCTTCATGAAAAAGGGACATTCCAGCTGGGGCCTGCTCTGGGGGCAGGGTTCTGAAGTGACAACGTGGAGGGGGCACAACAGGGAAAGGCTGCTGCATCATGCTACTCTGAAAATTATTATACCCTGTAAAACAGAAAATGTATGATAGTGTTCTACAATTAAAACAACAAACATTCTTTTCATAGGCATCTTGTAGAGAAAGTAGTTATAAAGTAAGATGATGCTTTTACATCACAGATTTTATCCTCTGCTCCAAACTATAATCCTATATTAAAACAACAACTAAATTATTTATATTGAAGCCTTAATAATTGTTTGAGATGAAAGCATGGCACTTAAAATACTGCAGTTAAACATATTAAGAGACAAACTAAAGATGACTATAAATAGCTAAATCATTATTTAAATCCTTGCTTTAACACAGACTATTTGTAACTATTAAAAGTTTTTTGCATATTGTTGCATTGACAAAATTGCACACTCTCAGAGACAAAGCTACAGCATATGAAACCTAAAATGTGCCCAAGAACAAGGCTTACTTAATCCAAAAATTGCTAGTAAGTCTGCTGGTATTTGCAGTTGTAAGGCTTAGACTGTCCGTTAATGACATATTGCTGTCTATTGAGATCTACTGAAAACCAAGTTCAGACAAAATTATAA